GGAGATACTCATTACTTGGATTCAGAGTGTGTCCGGATCCATAGGACTAAAGCTGGGTGCCTACGGCAGGGTTCTTCAGTGGCAGTGTTTGAGTAAGCATCTATTTTATCTTCAGGCTGGTGGGAAGACGATCCACTGAACCAGTCAGCTTAAAGGCTAAGCTGGGGTCCTCAGGAGGATTGGGCCCAGGTAGAGCCAGGCAACTAACAGAATCAGATCCAGCCAAGGCTTCAAACCAGCTGCCCCTTCAAAGCAAGTCTGACCCTTGGAGCCCTGCTCATGCATTTGCAAAGAAGCTAGCTAGCACGCCTGGGCCCCAAACAATGTTGGCCTGGGTCTGGGCCCTGTATGGTCTTGACATGGTCACAGAAACTGGCCAATTTCCACATCTTCAGAGGTCTCCTTGCTTAACTTAGGGTGGGCTTCTCATAAGCTGGAGCCACCTGTTTTTGAAGGTTATGTCTCAAGATGTTGATGCTCTTCATTTTGGAAAAAGTCAGACACAACCAACCACAGACCAGCCAGGGGAGGGACTCGAGAGTCCTGACCATCTATTTTCCCTTCCTCAAAAACCAGCCTGCTTCCTCCCAGCCTTCCTAACATTGGCCTTGACCGAGCTCCCCAGCCCTGGGCTACGAGGTGCAGGGGAAAGGGAAAAGGGGGCTTCAGGGGGTAGGGCACACCCCTGCAGGAATTTGCAGGGCAAAAGGCAAAGACTGGTGGGGAGGGGTCGCAGAAGTCTCTGGGTGACACAGGGCAAGAGGCCTGTACTCCAGCCAGACCCAAGGGAACACATATCCCTTTGCTGGGTGAGAGTGCCAGTGAGCAAGGCTGGGGGCAAGGCCAGGGTGCCAGAGGGCACAGCACTCTCCCTGAACCATCCATGCAGGAACACAGGCCTACTTGCTGCCCCCTCCCCCCTGCCACAACTTCCCATTAAGGCAACTTTTGGCAGAGTCACCAGGCACAGGAACAAATAGCTGCAGTCTGCAATTGCTGCAGCCAGAGCAAAAGTAGTAAAACTTGTTGGCCAACTCTATCAACACCAACAGCACAGCGTGGATACGCAGGAGATATATACCACGTGTTCACACACAAACATGTGGCTGGCCCACACCCCCTCTCCAGATGGCGGGAAGGCAGGGAGGTGGGGAAGCTGCACAGAAGCTGGGAGTGAGCTAGGAGGATTCGGTACTGCTGTGTGTCCCTCTACCCCAGCAGCGCCAAAACCCAGGGGCCCACACCCTGAAAACCAACTCTTCACAAAAAGTATGCTTGTGATGAACCAGCTACCTTGTCATTTTGCAGGGCTCAGAAGTGCAGATCCTTGGGATCCAGGGTGGGGATGTATGTGGCCAAGAAGCTCACTGGTACCCTCTGAGGAACATCATGGAAGCAGAACCCTAAGGAGGCCCTAAGCAGCCCAGCCAATCCCATGGGAGGGTCCAAGTGCCAGGAAGCATAAGAGGAGACAGGAATCTCAATTCTGTCCCAGGTCTGCTTTGTGGTTCTCGGTTTTCTTTCCACACAATGGGAGACAGTGGACACCCGTGCAGTTTGCTGCTCCATCCACCCAAGAGCAGATTTCCAGGCTGCCCTAGAGATCCTGTTTTTGTATACTGCCCCAGTCCCAAAGGGGAAAAACAGAAGACAAAATCCTGTAGCTACGACAGATAACAGCATCTGCCCAGCAAACAGCAGGAGGCCAAAGCAAGAAACAACAGGCCAGGGGTGACAAACAGGAACACCCTGATGAGCAGCAACAAGTTTAATGGGACCAAAATGTCAACAATCTCAATTTTAAAGGTGAATGGGCCATAACCCTGACGTTGCACAGAACACAAACGGACAAAATCTAGGCCCATAAGGTTTCTGTAAGTCAGCTAAAAGAAAATGAAATGGCCCCCAGGAAACCTTGGGGTCTGGGTTGGAGGGCTGAATGGGTAACTTTCAGGAGACAGTGGCAAACTGAATCAGGTTACACAATGTTTGTCTGGCTGGGGCCAAAAGGCCAGCGTCACAAGCTAGAGCCTGGGAAGGTGCTTATCTCTGGCAGAACCACGATCCAGGGACCAGAGACAAGCTCTGGATCACCAACTCTCAGAGCATCATGCTCTCCAGAGTGAAAACATCCTCTTGCAGCTTCTTTGCCAAACAGGACACCTGCCTCTTGCTGAGCCAGACCAGACCCCAGTGTGTTCCTTCTCCATCAAGCCAGCACAGGACCCCCTATCGCCACTTCAAAACACTCCCACTATTATTATGGTTTTGTTCCAAGAGCTTCCACAGGAGTTCTTCTGATCCACACATACTTGGCTGTGATTCACTGAATGATTTGGGCCAAGCTAAGACAAACAGCACAGGAATCCACACCTGCCCGCACGGCCTCCCCTCCTGCTCCTCCACTGCTTCCCTGCCCCCACCAGGCAGTGTTATGGCAGAGGCATGCTGCTGCTTTTGTCAGAGTGCTGGGAGGTTAGCTTTCCCAGGCTGGAGCCGCACCAGGGTATAATTACAAACAATGTGTGGTGATTGGTTCTCTCATTATGCAGGTAACAACTTCTGAAGTTGAGGGCCTGGACCATAAACTCTCTAGCCTAATGACACAAGGACATTAAGAGATGGGGAGGAGGAGGGGCATGCCATACAGAGACTGGTCAGATGGTGTGCATAAGGGAGAGCAAGAGGATTCCAGAACCAGGGCAGGAGCAAATGGCTAGGAAAGGGTAAAGAAGATAGTTTCAAGAGGGAAAGGAAGGAGGATACTGTTCACACATTTATTTGTTCATTCATTCATCTAGTAGCAAAAGTAGGATGCAATGGTGAGAGGCACCGGCTGAGCCCAAAGTACACTTAAGTCTCCAGACAAGTCAAAGGAACCACCAGGGAAGTCTCCACAGCCTCTTTCCACAAGGAGGGTGGAGCCTCCTGGAGAGGAGAGAGGCAGTGGGGAGACAGGGGAGAGAAGCTAAGCAGAAGTGTTTATTTGCAGCACTGGAGGAGGGCTGTGACCCACAGTTTGGGGCAGGAAACCTCCCAGACAGTAGGGAGCAGGGCAGGGGGATGGGAGGTATCAAAACACAGATAGCTCCCTGCCCCCATGAGCAGCTCCAAGCTTTGGGAGAACAGCCATTTCCTTCACACTCTGGCCTCAGTTTACCCACTGTACTCCAGGGGATGGGGTGAGATGGGGTGGGGTAGGGTAGTGAAGGCTACAACTTTGAGCTCTGGGGATGAAAGGCTCAGCCACAACCCAGACCACCGCTCCTGTAAAACAGCGCAGGCGACGCCAGGCCGCTCTTTTTGGCTGGTGAGTAGGGCGAGCCCCTCTTTGAAGATGAAACGTGCTGGGGCCTAATGAGGAGTCGTCAGGCGGCTGAGGCAGCTGAGATGGGTGGCAGTGGGGCGGGGGTACTTGCCCCCCCAGCCCCTCCCAGGCCAGGTCGCGGACACAGGGCCCTGCTCCACACTCTTCCTCCTCCCAAACTCCTGCTAGCTTCTGCCTCCTCTGCTCTAGGCTGCGTCACTGGCAGAGGCAGAGGTGAAAGGGGGCTCTAAGGTGGTCTCTGGTTGTGGTTTCCAAGTCAAAGGGGTTCATAGTTGCCCTCTGCCCTTCCTCTACATGAATGACAAGTGTCCTCAGGATCTAGGACACCCTCGCCCACCTGCTCATTCCTCCCTCTTCCCAGGCTGTGGACCAAATATCTTCTGCCTTGGAGAGGTTCAGCACTGCACTGGGCTCTGGTGAGAGCCACACATGTGCCTGCTGACACTGAGGGCACAGCCTGGGACCAGCCAGACTAGACAGCCTCTCATCCCTCACTCTTCCTTGCCTTTCTTCTTCCTCTGTGCTCCCTGCCCTTCCTTCCTGCTCAGACGGACCACGCCCAGGGGTTGGCTCCCTGCTGGTCTCTAGCTCCTGTTTCTGGGGAGATCCTTGGTGAAGGAGCAGGGACTGTGGCAACAGCAGTGCACACTCTCCCAGGAAGAAGCAGCCTGGTGAAGGCCCTGACACTAGGCACAAGGGACCGATGACCTTGCCAATGTGTTCCGGGACAGGAGCGTGCACTCCAGGATTATCGCATCTTCCTAATGGCCCACTGACGTTCACTAAGTAATTAATTCATTTATCTGATCTGCACAGTGATGCCCAAAGGTTGGTCTTCTGGAGCATCAGCATCTACTTTTCCGAGTTGAGTTTGTGGAATTACCACCTTCCTCAATTAGGAGATCTCTATCTGTACTCCTCCCCCTGGGTTTCTAGGGTTAGGAGGGAGCCCTAGCTGAGATGTACCCCCTTTTCTCTAGGGAACCAGGCTTGGAATTCCTGCTCTGAGACTCACCCCAAGACCGCCAGACCTTCAGAGTACCTTGTTGCCCCTGATTTCCAACAAAGTGTGGCTCTCAGGAAAGCTAGTCAGGTCTGGAAAGTCAATTAGGAAGAAGTGGGGCAAGGCCAAGAACTCAGCCTGGGGAACAATCACACCAAAAGCCAACAGGGGCCTAAGGCCCAACTGTGTCCTATAAAACTGGACAGACGCCTCGTGCATCTAGACACTGCCTGCACTTCTCCTTGACCATTGGCTCCCCCTACCCTCCAACATACATTCTCTCCAGCAGTTCAGCTCCAGTATCCCTGGTTGTGCTGTGCTGGAAGACTGAAAGCCCCGTGGCTAACAAAACCATGCCAGGCTACAGAGGGTGCACACACAGAGCCAGGTAGAGGCTTGACTTACACATCTTTGCATATGGCATCCCCTGCGCCTGTGTGTGAACAGCATGGTCAAGGGCACTAATTACAGGTCTTGGAGATACGATGAGCACCTCCCTTCCTTGGAGGTGTTTCTCATTGTGTCTCTGTCCTGGCATGGCCCCAGGGGTCTGGGAGGACTGGCAGCCATTGGCACGCAGGCTGTACAAGGTCGACAGCCCTGCTTCTTGCCCACCCCACACCCCTGTCTTGCGGTGGCAGTGCCAGGCAGCAGGTGTTGGGTGCTTACCTTGTGGTCTAGCTCAGCATTGGTCTTTGGCTGTTGCTCCTGGCAGGGTGGCAAGGGCTCCGAGCCCAGATGCTGCCTGAGGGATGATGGCCTCATGAGGCTCAGGAGCCGGCTGAGTAAGGACAGCTGGGGAGGAGAAGGGAGGTTCTCACTCACTGCAGATAGCAAGGCCAACGCTCAGGGTTGCAGCAAGGACACCCTGGCTGGTGGGAGTAGGTCAGAACACTGCCTCTGGAGGCCTGGGCGTGTGTACCACTTAGAAACGGCTTGAGACTGAGAGCTCCCTCAGGTAACATGGCCCACCCGTGTGTAACACAGTGCCTGGCAAGCTGTGGGCCCTCTACAGGGTGGGTAAGACATGCATCTACTTCCCTGAGGACACAAGAGCAGCAGAGCCACCTCCTCTGACACCAGCCAGGTCCCTGCCCACTCCGAGCAGCAGCTGCTTTCTCGCAGGCCCACTCTCCACACGGTCCCTCTCTGTTTCTTTGAACCTGTCATCGTGGGCATTTGTCAATATCCACAGAGGTGGGAGGCTGTGCCCTGGGCCCCACCTGTCCATCATGTAAGTGACAACTGTCCTCATCCTTCTGCTTTGCCTGTTTCGTGGCTTCTCTTCCCTTCACCCCTGCCCTGACCCTTTCCCTTCAGAGAAAGGGGGAAAAATTAAAAAAAAAAGCAAGTCCAAACATCGTATCCTTTTCCCCATAAAGAGCTTCTAACAAAAAAGGGTAAGGATTTTTCCCCAACATAAACATGACTTTCTTGCCCAACAAAAATTAGTAAACATTCTTTACTATCATCCAACACCTGTGTTCAGTTTTCTCTGATGGTCTCAAATCATGTCCTTTTATGGCTGGGTTGTTCGGACAGGAATTCCCCATGAGGTCCACACACTGCATTTCGTGGATGTGTCACTACATCTGTTGGCAGGCCACACTTGCTCTCCATCTAGTTTTTTAAAGAAACTGATCCCCAACCCCATTCTTGAACAGAGGCTCTAAGACTCTGGGGAGGAGGCAGAAACTGCCTAGATTCAGTGTCTGCAGCCAGCCCCTCCTATACACGTGGCCAGAGCAGTGCCCCTCTAGGGGAGGGGGAACCCAGCAAAGACTGTCCAGTTGCCCTGCAGCATGGCTAGGGTGCAAGCAGGCATGGACCTTGTCCCTGAGCCCTAGGAGGCCACAGGCAACCTTGTGGGGGGCAAAGGATGATATCAGAAGTATCCTCTCCTTAGATCTTCCAGGTGCAGGGTGGTTAACTGCCAGGGGGCAGAGCCCCCTCCTGCAAGTCCAGCTCCCTGCTTGAGCTCAGCCCAGAGGCACACCTGGCTTCCTCCTATGATTCAGGCAGACACCTGCTCAGCACTACAGCCGGCCTCAGGCTGAGACAGCCTGAAGAGCAGCTGGACCGGGGCCTGGGAGTCAGGTGGGACTTGGCTCTTGAAAGGAGGCCAGGGCTTCTGGGCTTCATGTCTGATCCCTTTAGAAGGGGTGAGGCAGGGGGAAGGAGAGGGAAGGTTCTGTTCCAGGAAAGGCACCATCTGGGGCTTCCACCAGACCGAGCTGTGCACCGCCTTCCTTGCTCAAGCTTCCCTGAGTCTGGGATTAGTTTCCAAAACAGCCCTGCCGGCTCACTTGCTTGCTTGGAGCGCACAGCTGTGCAAGCACAGGGGCCCAGCCCTGCAGCCCACGCCTCCAGCCTCACCCTGGGCCAGGACCTTCCCGGCTGCGGGAGACCTGGGTGGGGCTGAGCAGGAGACGCACACAAGCAAGTCACTTGCTTGCTGTTTCCCGTGTTTTTCCCCTGCGTGCAAACAGCTTCGCTGCGCTCAGCAAGCTGCCACCCCTGTGATCTGATTGCTAATTTTCTTTTGTTTCTAGCTCAGACCGCTCCAGGCTCCAGACTGCTTCTCTCCTACAGGCGAGCTCCCCCCCCCCTTCAATCCCCACTCTCGATCAAGGCCTTGTTTGGTCCCTGTGAGTTCCTAGCTGGGCTTGGGGGAGGGGACCAGCACTTTCACCTCCCCCACCCCAAACCCCCACCGAGAAGCCAGCTTTAAAAACACTGGGCACATTAGGGCAGACACCTAGGGCCAAGAAGTGAATGGGCATCCAAGACAGGCCTGCACCAGTATTGTCAGTTGCTCCACAGGAGGAGACAGGTACTGACTCTAAGGAGGCAACTGTCCACACAGCCTGTTACTCCTGCTGTGACTCCTATTCCCACAGGGATGGATAGTGGCCAAGATCTCAAGTGTCTGGGAGGCCACGGGTGGTCCATTTCCTGCTCCCAGTCTGTGCCCAGGACCCTGAAAACTGCCCCTTCCTCCCATGCTCCAGCTCACCTTTTCAGTGAGGTCCATTGGAGCACCACATCTAACCCAGAGCCCACATCACCTAACTGGCTAATTCCTTATGCCATACACTCTGTCCAAACACACCCTCCCACTCCCAATATTTACCAACCTTCTAGCAGATTCTGCAACTTACTTGTTTATTATGATCTCTTCTCCCTCTCTCGTTGGAATGTAAGCTACCTGAGCACAGTTTTGTTCTTGGTCATGTCTCCAGAGCCTTGCACCGTGTCTGGAACATGGCTGATATTTTCTATGCATTTGTTGAATGAATGAGTGTGTGCATAGCAAGGCAAGACGGTAACTGCCTTTTTGTCAGTAGATGCAAATCTATCCCCTTTGGTTTAGGCCACTTGAAGTCCCTGTTTTTCAAACTCTAAATTGAAGACATAGTTTGACAACACAGGAGCGTTGCGCTGCATGAGATGTCCTGGGATAAGAACCCGACATGCGTCCTCTCCCCACCCCTGCTCCACTCAGTGGGGGGAGCCCCAGCCTGGCAGGTGCACAGACCCTGAAGCGGTCCTAGTCTCCTCCTTCTCACGTGCCACATTCAGCTGGCTGTGAGCACATCTAGAATCTGACCATGTCTCGCCACCTGCTGCTATCTCCCCAGGCCAAACCACAGTCACCTCTCAACTGCAATCACTGTCTCCTCCCTCCTGCTCCCAGCAGTCTGTTCTCAACACAGCAGCCTGAGTAATCTTTAAAAAGCTTCCCAGTCTGAGGCTGGTTCTCTACTCAACAGCAAAGTCAAAACTCTCATCATGGCTTTGAAGCCTGGGCTGACTGAGTGTTTTCTAACCCATATTACCTCAGTAACTGCTATTCCATCTTGGGTGTCTGCTCGACTTACGCTGCCTCCGTTGACTTCCCTCTAACCCAGAGATGTCTGCCCCTGGGCCTTAGCACTGGTTATCCTCTCTGCCTGGCATGCTCTTCCCCAAGAAAACTGCTAAACTGCCAAACTCCTTAGGACATGCAAATGCCACTTTCTCTGTTTATATTTTAAAGCAGAGGCCTCCAAACACCTCCTCTTGCCTTCAGCAGGCTTTGCAGTTCTCTGTAGCACTGATTAGCAACTGGTAACGCAAATCCTTCCAGGAGCTTGAGTCTATTTTCCTCTGGCCTGGGAGCTTCATGAGGAAGGGACTGAGGGGGTGGTATAGTTCAGTAAGTTCATGGAAAATGTACATTATGGAGAAAGCCTGTATGGATTTCAAACATATATATTTTTTTGGCACTAAATTAAACTTATCCCCCCTTGTACCTTCAGTACCCAGAGTAGCACACTGGGGACAACTGGGTACCTTCTGTGTGAAATAACAGGCATGGGCCACGCTGCTAAGAGCCAAGGATGGGGCTGAACTGGCTGAGGGGCAGGACTCTAATCCTTGCTCTGCTGACTCCTGCCATGTGACCCCCAAAAAGTTTCATGCCTTAAGTTTCCCCACCTATAAACAATATAAACAGCAGTAAGTGTCTTTGCTGCCCAGGGTTGCTGTGAGGGCTAAATTTGTGGTTGACTCCCAGGACACAGCAAGGGCTGTGGGAGGGGGAGCTGCTGCAGGCTGCAGGGCAGAGGCTGTGGGGACAAAGTGGCTGTTCCAAGGTAAGCTTCAGGAAGATTTATTTGATAGGTCCAATTGGAAAGGGGTGTGCCTGCAGCCTGGTGACCTGGGGCGAGGTTGGAGTGGAACTCCCCACTTGCAGTGGGGACGGAAAAGCTCTAAGGAAGGTGGTGGGCAGGACCCTGCTGGTGCACCCCATCTCTCCAGCTGCCACGAATCTCTGGCTCCCTCTCTTCTCCGCAGAACATGCATGGACTTATCCCATAAGTCCTGGCTCTGGAGAAGGTGCCTCAGTATCCTGGGGCACAGTTAGTCAGAGCGGCCACAGCCGGCTGGCTCACCCATCTCTTCTGAGGAAGTCTGGGTGCTGTCTGCCCAGTGCCTGCCAGCGCCTGGGGCCAGGGCTGTTTAGCTAGTGTCTGCTATGCAGGCATGCGGGTGCATTGTGGGCACTGGCGGGTGGGCTGTCTGCTGTGGTGGAACAGCCCCGGAGCAATGAAATACAAAATTGGACCAGAGCTGGTTTGGTTCCTGGCAGGTCGCAAAGTATCTAGCCCTTGGGAGCCACGGAGACCCTCTGGGGTAAGCTCTATATGCAGTAATCCCATGTCACTTTCCTCTTTCCTCCACACCACCCTTCTGGGCTCCAGTCTTCCTCCTCACATCTCCCCTGGAGCTCCATGGGAACTCAAACTCTCCTTGCTCTCCCTGCACAGGCTCTGTTCAATACAACACAAAGCAAGGCAAACCACTAAGGCCCCCAACTGGCCCTGCCATTGAGCAAATCCCTGCCTTTCCAGGCTTTGCCCAGGCAGTTCTTGGCCAAGTAGTCCCTACCCTACCTCCCCACCTCCCTCTGGCTTCTGCTCTGCTCTCTGCTGGGCTCACTGACCCCCTCTGGACAATGCCATTGCCTTTCTAAAAGGGTGTCTTTTGCAGCCATGTGCCTCTGGCTTCATCTTTGTTGCACATGCCTTTTATAAGACTGTCGGGTCTCTCTGACCGCCCCCGTTCACGGAGGGGGAACCTGTGAAGCGACCCCAGTGCTGGTCACCTCTTCACTCAGGCCATACCCTCCACGAAGGCAATGGCCTGCATGCGGATGCCACAACTTCATGTGTTCATCCCTCCCAGGGTGTGCCTGGCCCAGTGCTAAGTGATGAGGGGGCAGCTGGAGAGCAGGAACCAAATAAAAGTGATCAGGAGCTGGATGCCTAGAAAATTTAAGACGGGGTAGCAGACGGAGTTGGGGCACTATGAGTTGATAGGCCAGGAAGGCCTCTTTGAGGAGGTCATTTCAGCTGGAGAGAGAGGGACAAGAGGCTCCAGTCATGCCAAGTTCTAGGGAGACAGCATTCAAAGCAAAGGGGCAGCCTGGCTCACCCTGACAACCTGGCCTGACTGGTCACCTCACCAATCTCTGTCCAAGCTGGATGCACTAATACATTCCACCAGCACCGAGGGCTCAACTGCAGGGGTTGGAGCAGCAGCCTTATGTCTAAGTGTTTGGCTTCAGGTGGACCCAGGGATTCTCCTAGGATTCTAGAGAGATCTTTGGGGGAGATGAGAGTGCTTTCATTCTCACTGGGGGCAGTGACTACTGCTCTAGGACCCCTAGGCTGGGGGGCTGCAGTCAGAGCTTCCTGGCAAGCAGAGGAATGGGTAAATCTCTATTGCCTCAAGGACACCAGACATTGTCAATCCAGGAATTTGAGCTGAGTAGTTTTTATTTTCATCAAGATTGCTTCCCCCTATAAAATGTTATATGGCCAGCGGCTTGGAGCAGGGGGAGATGAGGAATTAGTGTTCAGCAGGGGCAGGGTTTCAGCTTGGAAAGTTGGGGTCATTAAGGAGACTGACGCCAGGAGCCATCCATACACACACACATTGGGGCTGTGCTGCTCTCCACAGTGAATGTATTTAGTGCTATGGACCAGAATACTTAAAACTGATTAGAACTTTGCACAGTTAAGACAGTAAGGGGTGAAAAAGGTGAAACTGATAATTGTATTATACATGTTTTAGCATAATTATAAAAAAGATAATAGTGGCCCCAGCTCACAGATACATCCTTTACAACCTTGTGTGTGGCAGCTGCACACACAACTGGAGGGAAAAACTCACTCTGGGCAGAGGCTGCCAAGCTTTGAGCAAAGCCTCAGGAGCAAACAGGCCCTGGGGAGGGCAGTCTCCATCCTTAGGTTTTCCCAAAGGATGCAGGCAATGGCTTACCTGGGTCTTCTCTTGCCAGACAGGGAGCATCTCTTGCTTGCCTAGCATTCGGGCAATAACCGTGAGGCTCAGCTGACTGCGAAGCTGCCTGGGAAGGAAGGAGCAAGAGAGCCTCAGGGTCCTATCATCTGAATGAGGGAGTCAGCTGATAGAGGGGTGGTGGGGATGTGGGGGAGCCCTGTCCTGGCAGGTGCCTGTGCTTTTCCCTCTAATTGTCCCCCACCATGGTTACCCATACTTAGCCATGGAGCCATACAGCCAAAAGGCATTCAATAGCAGCTCCACATTCCTGCTTGCAAATTCCCAGATACGTATCAGAGATGTATAGACAGACAGGCAGGGATAAGAGAAGGAATGTGGACAGGCAGGGGGAGAAAACAACCAAGAAGAGAAAGGCAGAGGTTGAGAGAGCAGGATGAAAGTAAAGAAGAAAAATACATTTTTGTTTTTATGCTATACCTGTGGGGCTTGCCAATGTCCAATCGGTGGCAATCTGGCCTGGGGAGGCCAAACCTGGCAGCTTTCACCCAGCAACCAGTGAGCTTTCCCCTGGGAAACTCCTCTCCTCATCCCAACTGTACCTAGGCAGCCAGGTAAAGCGGCCTGGGAATAACCCAGTCATTGAGTGGTGGCCTCAGGGCCTTGCTGGATTACCATAAGTATGTGCTGTCCAGGGGCAGACAGCACCACTCATCCAGCCAGCCTGCAGCTGCTGGGGTGGTGAAAGAGGCCGGCAGCTGGAGGGGGACTGAGCCAGGGCTCTGGGAAGGTGCCCCACACCACTTGGTGGGTGAGCCTGGTGGAACTAATACAGTATCCGGGCTTGAGTTAGCTGCAGTGGGTTTCCAAGTGCAGCCACCATGCTGTGCTACCTAATTGGATCAGATGAGAGTGGACACCTCCTCACCACAGTCTGTCACCATGGTAAAGGTTACAATCCCGGCATCTCCACAGGCTGGTTGCGCTCACAGGAAACAGCCGTCAGCCCCTGACAAGGACCCAGATGTGGTCACACTCCCTCATTCTTGAGCAAGGCTGCACCAGGAGAAGCCAAGGAGAGGTGTGGAAGCTGGAGGACGTGTAAAGAGCACAACAGAAAGCGTATAACTTCAACACTGCAGTGGACAAATGCCCTCAGCAGACGTAGGTGTCCTCAGTCATGGAACTGCCAGCACCACCTCAGGATGAGACATGGGGAACAGCCAGGTAGAGAGGAGGCCTTAGGGAATATGCATCCTGGGAAGGACATCAGAGTAGGTCACTCCCTGGTTGGTGCCGGGGGCTCCCCAAGAATCTTTCCAACCCTCAAACTGGGGTTGGAATGGCTTTCTTGAAGCCCCAGTGAGGCTGGGCAGACTGGATTCAGTGACTGTAGATTAGGGCCCTAAGAGCTGTTGCTTATTTTCTTAGGAAACAGTCAAGAAAGTCAGAGGGTTACCACACCAGGAAGGGTAAGGTGAAAAAGACAGGCAATAGTCAGTGCTGGGGAAAGAGCAGGCAGTCACTCTGCTTCCTTAAACTGTACACAGCCTCCTATCCCATGAAACAACCATCCTCCCAGGCACGCAGAAATGAAAGACAGAGCCCCTGTCATGTTCACAAGGACAGCATCACAGAGGACAAGCAGAGTGGGTTGCACATGTGTCCAGCTCAGTCCAACAGGGAGTGACAACTGTGAATGAACCCTAATCACCTTGAAGAGATGAGAGTCATGGAGTTGAAGGGAAGAATCCAGGTGCAAGGAATGTATGTATAGGATTTCCATTTAGCCTAAAAATGGGTAGTCAGGAAACTGGTGACTCAAGGGCAGAGAGGAGCACAGCCTAAGACATGCTTCACTTCTCTAGCCACCTCTGCCTGAGTCTGTTGGAACTTCATGTTGAATGTTATGCATGTTTCTCTGTTTGTCACTCAGAAAAGAAACTCTGGGGCTGAGTACAATGGTCTAGTGGCTAAATCCTAGCCTTGCAAGTGCCAGGATCCCATGTGGGTGCTGGTTCATATTCTGGCTGCTCTACTTCCCATCCAGCTCCCTGCTTGTGGCCTGGGAAAGCAGTAGAGGACAGCCCAAAGTCTTGGGACCCTGTGCCCATGTAGGAAACTCCTTAATTCCTGGCTTCAGATCAGCTCAGCTCTGATCACTGCTGCCTCTTGGGGAGTGAATCAGTGGATGGAAGATCTTCCTCTGTGTTTCTCCTCTCTGTATATCTGACTTTCCAATCAAGACTAAGTTTTTTTTAAAAAAAAATTAAATTTCAGGTAAATTTTCTTTCTTCCTTTTAAAATTTTTCAAACAAGTTTGCCTCAAGTGCTATATTCATCCTCTATGTGATATCCCTGAGAGTGGCTGACCATTAGCTCTTCTGTGCTGGATCCAGGATCCACGAGAGTGATAGGGGCCTTCTCTAGTGCTGTTTCCCTTTTGCCTGCACTGTTTTCTGCCGAGTGCCTTATACACATTGCACCTTCTCCAGGTCCTTGACTTAAGAGTCCTGAGCCCAGGCTCCACTGTATGGGCTTAGCCACAGGACAGCAAGTGGGAACACCTCATCCCTGCTCCCCCGCCCTCCTCCTTGAAGGCAGCACCCCCTCTAGAGAGGGGCTTTAGGACGCAGCTACCCCCCTCCCCTGAATTACACCCTTGCAACTCCCTACAACACACACACACACATACACACACACACACACACTCCCTTTGGTGGACTCCCCTTGCCTCCATGTCAGCCAGGAACTGCTTTCCAGCTGTTCCCCACCAGCAGCTGGGCCTAGACACAGTGGGAGGCAAATGGCCCCTCTGCAGCCACCACTCTGCTGCAAACTTGCAGAAGTCCCTGCATCTGGGCTTAATTAATCCTCACGCTCTGGGCCTGCTTTCACAGGAGCGCCTTCACCCGCCAACCTGGCAGGGAAGGAGCTGCCAGGGCTGGGGGTGGTTCCAAAAGGGGAGAGGCGGCCCCCGGGTGGGTCAGGAGAGGGCTGCAATCCAGAAGGAGAGAGGCGGCAAAAAAAAAAAAAAAAAAAAAAAAGGCTCCAGAAAAAGCAACGAGGGGGTGAAGAGAAGAAAAGAAACCCACATCTGAGAGCGGGCGGGCAAACACCCCCACTCGCTGTCCCGCCCGCCCACTGCCTTTCATCCTGAAGGCTCTCCTAGTCTTTTAAACACTCGCTCCTCTGGGACACAAGGACAGGGAGCAGGCTGGCGTCTTCATTTTTACAGACACTTCACCCCTAAGCACCACTCAGACTAAGCTGGGAGGGCCAACGGGGGTTGCAGAGGCTGGTGGGTGGTGGGGTCATCCCCCACCCAGAGGTTGCCTTGCCGCAGTCGGCAGGGCCTATCCCAGAACTCCCAGGCAAGTAAAAGAGGATGCAGAAGCCTCTGCAGCCATCTCCGCCACTGTCATATAAGGCAACAGGCGCCAGCTCTGCGTGCTCAGGCCAGGCCAGGCAGAGCTAGCCTCGCCCCCGCCCTTCCCCCACGGAACTCGGGAAGACCAGGACACTGGATTAGCATTCAGAGGAGCTGAAGGTGCTGGCAGACTTGAAGATGACTTTTCCAAACTCAGAGAAGAGAGCAGGGCAGTGGAACACACGCGCTCTGCTTTGCCAGCTTCCGGCCATGTAGTTCTCTCAAGGAGGCACCAAGAAAGGCAAAGACATTGATGATGTAGGCCCACCAGGATGTCAAAGCGGTGGCACTGGTCAGCGCAGACCCCTCACCTTTGGAGACCTTTGTCCTGCCAAGACTGACTGGCCCTCAAAGGCCCTCTGGCATTTGGCCAAAGGAGTAAGCTGCCTTTTCCATGTCTCCAGGGCAGCTCAGGAAGTAACAGCAGTGGCCTGCTCTGCCCAACAACCCTCCCTTGGCATCCACCCGGACTGCATCCCTGGGCTGTTCTTGGCATCTCTCCCCCATCAGAGATGACTGCCACATCACACACCCCTCAGACCTTCACTGGTAAACTTCATCCTTCCTCCTATGTGAGCATGGGGTGGTAAAGCCTCCCTGGTGGGGACTGGGAGCACAAGCCTGCCTGGTGAGGGTCATTTACTTCCCTGAGTGCCCTTGCTTCTCCTCTCCTCCAAGGGCAGCAAGGAGGAGATGGACAGCACCTCCACTGAGGCCGTTGGTGGTGCCCCACCCGGCAACACAATGGATCCATTTATAACTGACATATGAATGCGGCAGGGTCCCCTGAAGTGAGTGTGAGCAGAGACGCCAAAGAGGAAACTCCACATGGTCCTATTTAGAGAAATGTTCACAAGAAAGCAAAATGAACCTGTATGATAGAGACACAGCAGGGGTTCCCTTTGCGGGGGGGGGGAATGTCTGGGAGGGGCCCAAGAGGACTTCCAGGGCAGAACAACTCCCTTCTGTGGCCCAGTGGTTGTTACAGACTTGCCCTTGCAAAGTGCGCTGAGTGGCCAATTGATTCTTATGTCCTTTCCCTCATGTGAATTGTTATAATTAAAAACACACAGAACAGTTGCAAAACCACCCCCTCCCTCTTGTCCCAAGAATAAAAAAAATCATGGAAGCTTAGGTTTATTAAATGCCTTCAAGTCACCTGGTCCAAAGCCTGTATTGTCATCCATTTAATTCTCTTTGCCAGACCCCAAGCAAGTATTCATCTCAGCTCATCGGAAGCACAGGATGTAGCAAAGTGGCCCAGTTCACTTGTGAGAATCCTCAAAGGATGTTTTCCCCACATTTTGGTCCAAATCTGCCCTTCTGTGACTTCCATATAGAGCTTTCGGATCCTGCGCCCAGAACTTCAAGGAGGTGGCCTCACATGTTAGGATCCCTGTGCCCCTAAAGACAATGGCTGCCTTCCCACAGCCACCCCTTCTCCAGGCGCAACAGCTTCACTTTCCTATCTTTTGAAATCTTTTCCCCATTATCATTTGAATCTTTCTGAGGCGTATGGGGAGGGGGAAGGAGGCTGGCAAGCTCCCCTTCAAGTGAGCCGCTCAGAGTCGTGGCGGATGCTCATTTTCTTGGCAGCCCTGGCATGTGTGAAGCAGTTAACAGATTGCACTCAAAGTCTTTCTTCACACGTCTGCTGTCAGACCCCATTTCCTAGATTC